TCTCTATGGTTAAACAGAAACATTAACATTTTGTTTAGTAATTTCAAGTATTTTTAATGATTATACATGTATACTACTACCTTCATCAACAACATTTTTATTATTACTACTATTATTATTATTACTATTATTATTATTAATATTATTATTAATATTATTATTATTATTATTATTATTAGGCCTATTATTATCATTATCATCATTATTGTTATTATTTTTACTGTATAATTATAATAATAATAATAATTATTATTATTATTACAGTATTATAGTTGTCACTATTATCATTATTATCATAATCATCAGCGCATTCATGAAATCACCAGATACTTTTACTATGTCCACATTATCAAGTTGTATGTGACAAGCAAAGATCTTATAACAAGATAGCGTTCTCCGCGGTTTGCGTGTAACAAATAGAAGCGTGCAATTTACGCAGAAAACAATAAAAAGTACCCACCACCACCACCACCACCACCACCACCACCACTTCCAGAGAACATGGCTCACAACAAGAATGCATGAATATTTACCGTACATAACAACAAAATAGCAGATGCAATTAGTGGTGGAGTAGTGGTTAGCTTGTTGGCCATCGGCCGATTGAGATTAGCAGGATGTCAGGATCATTGTATTTTTCTTGAAAACTCAGATGAGAATGTGCTTAAGGTCGAAAAAAGAAAAAGAGGAGTAGGACTAGACATAGACAAATATGTAAAAAGATTGAAGTTGGAAATATACAGTCTGTCCAGGGATCGGAGCTCTCATCTGTCCAAGAGAAATATCCTTATTTTGATATTGACCTAAGAAGAATGTGTTTCCACTCTAACAGCTCAACTCATGCCAACAACCACAGGATTGATTGGATTATTGACTTACTAAAAAAAAATCTTATTCAAATTAGAAGGGGCGCTTATTCAAACGGGGCGCTTAAGGAAATTTTCACGTTAGAAGGGGCGGTTATTCGAGAGGGGCGTTTATTCAAATGGGGCGCTTATTCGCGCGAGTACGGTAACTGCCTGTATTTGCAGTGGCGTAGGTATGGAAAAGTATGCAAGTTTTAAAAAATAAAAGCGAAACGTGGAATAAAATGACCTTGTCAATTTTGGAGTGACATTCATGTTATTTGTACTTAAACTCAGTGCATATCCTAAGTTAACTTTAAAAAAAAAAAGTCATGAGCAGCTTTGTACCTGTTGAATACATTCAATGCTATTTTCTTTCATTCAGGTAACACTATGCACTAAATACTTTTGAAACATATTTCTAAAGCATTTGAAATGTCGGCACGCACGTGTTTGATATTTTAAAGTTGATTCAACTATATTGTGCACGTTTTTTAATTACGTCAGGTCATCATACTTCATGAATGTTTTAGAATTACCTCACTGCAATTAGGTCTATGATTGTTCTATTGTTGTCAATGCTGCACTTTATCAGACTCACGAAATGCCCAATAGACCCTATTTGAAAAAAAATATATTTTGTCCTCAATTCCTTGAATACCGTATTTGTTTTGTACAGTACGGTATATATTTCTGCACGGTACAATGGCGTCTGTTTAAAAAAATGTAGATTGTATGAGCAAGAGTTTCGCCTAAGTAGACCACACAAAGGCCCCCACCCCCCTCGCTCTCTCTGGGGACGATCAGGTGCGGTGCCTTTTAGGGCAGTGGAGGCGCCAGCGGGGGCACTCGGACGGGCCTGGACCCCTGTCGTCCGACTAACGACTAAGTCGTCGGATTAATTTTTATTTTAAATAATAATTTTCCTATCCAAATAACTTTATTTTGATTGCCAATCCCTAATTTTGTGATCTGAAAGCACATTTAGGACGTAATTAAAGCCATAAGAACTCTCCCATGAATCCTAACAGGGATTTTTTTTTATTCCCGGCCCTCGACTGAGGCTTAGTCTGCCCCTTGGTTCGGACCTCTCCATCGGACATGTCGGACCCCTCGTCGGCAATTTTTTTACGCCACCGCTGTTTTAGGGCCCGCCAATTATCTAGCACTGGGGCCCGTAACCACCTCGCTATGCAGCTTTATATTTGAATGTAATCACAAATTTGTCACATTTGTTAGTGTGAACAGAGCTTAAATGCGTGTTTATTTTTTTTCAGTACTTGTCTTGACTCTGGATGGAGCTGTACTGAGTTTATATGCTCAGGTATGGTTAATTTAATTTATTTTGTTTTATATATATTTTATTTCACACAACGAAAATATACATAAAAGTAAATTAATAACAAGGACAATGTAATATAATAATGTAAGAAATAAAAGCAAATTGATAATTTAAAAAAATAGTAAGAAGAAAGGAGGAAAGAGAGAGAAAAAGTGCACCAATAAGTTCATTGGTGGATCCAGCAGTGGGTGAAAGTGGTGCTCGGTTATTTTACCACTAATTTTGTATTTTCTAACGATTGACGACGAACACAGCACTATATCCCCGACGCCGATCTAGTCCAACGATTTCACAAAGTCAGGATGTCAATAAAAGGCCAAAAGACGGAAAACTAAGACGGTATTTATGGCCCATCCATAACAGGTATCCATGATTAAATATGTCTGTTCTAAAATTGGTGCTTTTTCCCAGGGGTGCGCCAGTGGAGAGAGCTTCCACTCCCGCACCCCCACTGTCGGGGGGAAAAAACAACAATTCGTCGGAAAAAAACCACAATTCGTCAGAGAGAAAAGAAATTTATTTGTATTATCTACATTTTAATAAACTAAAATCGATTAAAATAAACCTTTGAAACCCCTGAATTATATTTTTTCGGGCCTTCGCCTTCGTCTGGATGCCATATTGTGCCCCCCGGCAAAAACATTTTGGATCCGCCCCTGAACTGTACTTATGCAAACATAGTGGAGTAAGCTGGAAAGCTTAATGGTCGCAGATAGGGATAGCAGCAGTATGTCTGCAGTATCAAATATCGTTATCTCACCAGTTATAAAACTCATTCAGGGTTTACCAATTACTGTTGTGACGTTGAAGTTACTTGACAATTGCTGACGTACGTGACAGTTACAATACAAAATGTGAACAAAAGCATGCCGCATCACTATGTAAAAGATGACGCTCAAAAGTATATTGTTAATAAAAATGTATTATTATTATTATTTTTATTATTCAGCATTACTTTTGTTACTAAAGTCTGAAGTTGAATTACTCAGTAAATATTCGTCATGGCCTGTGACAAATATATTATTTTAAACTTGTATATGTGTGTAACGACCTGAAATGAACAATACAAATGCTTCGTCACGGTTTGTGTGGGTCCTAAAATCTACCAATTTTGCTGTGAGCAAACAAACGATTTCTGAACGAGTCGTGTATTATTATAATTTAAGTATCAATCATTAACCTGCTATTTCAGGCCTTTAGGCAGGGGGAGGGGTCAGAGGTGCGGACGCACACTAAAATTTTATGTTTCAGAAAACCATTAAATAAGATCCTCAAAAATTGTTATTTCGCATAAGCTTCTTAGGGCTTCGCTGTACCCCTGGACCCCGCCGGAATATCCACCCACCATCGAAAAAACCCTGTCTACAGACCTGTGTTTGTGTAACTACCCGAAGTGAGCATTCTTCTTCTTCCTACCCACCATCGAAAGAAAACCCCTGTGTACAGACCTGTATTTACGTGTGTAACTACCCGAAGTGAACTACCTAACTACCTCTTATTATTATTATTATTATTATCCTTATTATTATTATTATTATTATTATTATTATTATTATATTTTGAGTGAGAAAATTACTAATTACTGAAGTACAGTATACTGATACATATGGCCTACCTATAACAATATTCAAAAATTTGAGACATGTTTACTTGAAAATGACCTCGTATCTGTACCGCTTCACTACACCTGATGAAGCCAGCTTAGACTAGCGAAAGCACCTTGTGTATTTAATAATTCTTCATAGTGTTCCAGTGCTCTAGGATTTAGCAATGGGGTGAATAATGCGATTTGCGAAGCACAAGCGCGGCGGAGTGGGGGGTTGTTTTTGGCAAGGGCACAGATCTGTTTCGAAAGGTGAGGGGGACATTCCGTGAGTCCACACCCACCATGTTGTACAGCACACTTTCGTTAAAACCTGGGTCATTTATGCAGTTATTTCAACAATTTCCTGGCATCTTCTTGACTTACGAAATTATTACATTGCGGACGAAAAGTGAGGAGACCAACCTCCCACCGCCTTAAAATATTTGGGGACGTGTTCCACTGTTCCCCATTGATCATGGGTTTTGGGAGGGCCGCCACTTCCAACTGAGATTTGTTTGGAATGAGTAGACGGCTAGACGCTCTTGGATGACATCTGAAAAAAAGTTAAGCCTAAAATAGAAAGTGTATGCTTTACGAGAGTAGTCTACTATGTAACATGTATACAGGAGAAGCACACACACAAGACGAATGACCATTTTTTTTACGGTCACCGAAGGGGGGTGGGGAGAGGCTAGCCACCCTATTCACCCCCTAGATCCGCCACTATGCCCGGCTTTAGTCTATGAAGTGCTACCTGTGTTTTTATTTTTCTGACAATCTCAACTTTGTCTTACTAATGATATATTTCATTTTATAAGAAACTTCACATTATTTTTTCTTAGGCTATTAAACTATACAATCATTTGTAATATTCTGTCAAGTGGATGTATCGTACTTTCAGTGGCGTCTCTACTTGAAATGGTGGGGGCGCTGATGGTGGGGGCGCTGATGGTGGGGGTGCGAAAGTGGAGGGCTCAATGAATAAGTGAGGGAGCGTTAGGGAAAAATAAGGTGATTAATACTAATTAAGCGTGATTTTTTTGCTTCGAACTTTGTCAATAGGGAGGGGAAGACTTGGGTGAGGAGCTTTTTCAGGGGGCCCTCCTAGATACGCCACTGCGTGAGGTTTGGCTGTAGTTTCATAGAACTCATTTTAAGATATAGCAAAATTAAGCAAAATTGTGTATTAATATTTTTATTTTTTTTTTTGCTACTTGCTTTTCTTAAGATCCTTGTTTTTCATCTCCGTGCATGAATGGTGGGTTGTGTTCAAAGACGAATGATCACTATGAGTGTCTTTGCCCGCGGCACTACACAGGATCGGATTGCCAAACTGTAGGTGAGTACACAATATATAATTCCCATATGCATACAAGACTCTATCACTAGAGGGGTTCTACTGCTACAGTAACTACTACGTCTGCTACCACTACCACCACCACCACTACTACTACCACTACCACTACTACCACCACTACTACCACTACCACCACCACTACTACTACTACTACTACTACTACCACCCCCACCATATCAACGGCTAAATATTACGATACATTTTTTTATATCTACACTTAGTACCTGTCGGTGCCTGCTATGATGGTGAAGAGATGTTATATAATGGAAAAACCTTTTTTAATGACATCTGTCAGCAGATGTGTGAGTGTAAAGATGGTGTGATAACATGTGACACCGATTCGTGCCCGAAACCTGCGTGTACCAATCCCGTGTACATCCCGAATCGGTGCTGCCCGGTCTGCTGTATGTTTTTTAAATAGTATTGTCATACATCTGCTTGTTTTTTAAATAGTATTGTTATTCCAATATATTCAAAATTCTTAAATGATTCGGTCCCGGGCAGACAGGCCGAATTGACAATGGATGAATTTAGTTTGAAGGGTGACAAATTTACAAGGCCAAAAGTCCTGTGAAATCGGCAAATGCTAACAACAGTATATTAAAAAAAATGTTTTATTAGTTTTTCCAAATTCTTTGTTTGTTCACCTACTTTATTTATCTAAGACCAGTGCCCCATTTTTCGTATTATAACTTAGGTTTATTTTCAAAAAAATATAATCTTAAATTCCGTAAAGTTATAAAGTAACCTATTATTACAAAAATTAGGCTTCTGATAGGAGCATGGGTATACTGCAGAATTAGTATAAATTACACTTATCGGACAGGGTGCTACCAGCCATTGGTCAACACACTGTACTTGGCGTGCCTGTCAACGCACGGTATCCTAAAAAGGAAAATAAATTTTAAAAATCAAGCATTAAATTTAAATGAATCCATTAAGTTAGAAGCATCCAGTGAGTACATTACAGTGGTGCTCTAATTTTGTTTGACAATGAACTTTAAAAAGTTATTATTAAAATACAATAAAATGCAATTAAATGAATAATAAAATTTATTAGACAAATTTAGAATATGTAAGTGTATTGAAGCGCCCTCTTCCGATACACTATGAGAAGGCAGATGCAAATTTACGGTAATACATTTCAGGGCCTGAAGAAAAAAATGGATTTTGTCCAGAAACTTCGTTCTCTGATATTGGAACATGCGAGGAAACTTGTCGGCACGATGTTAATTGTACTGGTGACCAGAAATGCTGCTTTAACGGCTGCGGGCTATCGTGCACGGATCCGCAATCAGGTACAGCAAATGTTCATGTTTTTATATTTCATACAATTTACAGTTTGTGAATGATGCATACTGTATTATTGAAGAATGTACAGAATTGACAAATAAAAGAGTGATGAACTCACAAAGGGGAAAAAACTTCCAAAACATCCAAATGATGATCTTAATATTGAGTGGAATGCAACCATCACTGCCACGATGCGTATCAGAGATGACGTCAGGTTTTGTCCGACGGTGAGTCAGATGTCCCTGGTGTAGGGGCCAATATTCCCGACTAGAGCGTTTGTAGGCGTGTTCGTGCGTCGCTCAAAATTTCTCGGAAGTGGTCCAGGAGGTCAAGCCTCCGGAAACTATGACAATTTAAGGGTTTCAAATGTTTATTTAATTTGATTTTAAAGACTACTAATTAAAAAATACTTGTAATTTTTTTCCCTCAAACGGATTGTTTATATTTTTTACATATATTAAGCTTCATCACTGCGAATGCACATAACGAGAAAAAGTAACAGTATAACAAGACATGAAAAACAGCGAAAAGGAGGAAGGGGTGAACAGGTGTCAAGCACCTCTATCTATATTCCCATTGAACACATTAACGTTACATTGAACAAAAACGATATGTGAAAAATTGCACGTTATAAGACACAAAATGATACATAAAAAGTATTTAAAAAAAGAGATAAACACATTGAACGTTTTAAAATATATATTTTTAGATTTATTACAAGACTTCAAAATTAATTAATTCAAAATTATTATTTTGCAGAACCGACAACTTTATGTGAGCGATCTCCTTGCCAGAACGGAGGAACTTGTATTGACATTTTATCTACTGTAATTATGTGTCAGTGTTCTCCGGGTTTTCATGGAAGACATTGTGAAATACCAGGTACGTGAGACAGGGACGTAGCCAGGATTTTGAAAGTGGGGGAGCCGTTATGCGAATTACGTATGACCCCGGCGGGGTCAAGGGGGGGGGGGCGAATCCCCCTGTGAGGTAGCGCACTCTGAACGTTCTTCGGACTGTTTGAGAGAATAAAGTGAAAATTGCAATAGACGCATTATAAATAAGCGCAAAAATAATTATATAATAAAAATCAACAGTGGCAGATCCAGGAATTCGAAAGGGAGGTGAAGCAGGGATCAGGGACTTTCACAGACCGAAGAACCACCCACCTCAGCCCCACCATGGTTGGGGCTGAGGTAAGAAAATTTATGATTAGGGCATCTCTAGATGGCCGGAAATTACACTCTCGCACTTCAATTTGAATATACTCTCGCACTTCAATTTGAATATATTTTTCTTTTCTTTTCCTTAAAAAAATGAAGGGAGGGGGGCTTGAATCCACCTCTGCTCAAAACATTCTTTATCCAGAATAGTCATAATCACGAAAAATGTACATGAGAAACCAGATAACATCCTAAAAACAAACAGCAGTCACT